TAAACTGTAAAAAGTAAAGTGTCAGCTTTGTGTGTGCCAGACAGAGACATGTAATTAGAGCAGTCACATGAAATCAAATGATCATATAATTTAACTATCACACGGCAACAAAAATTATTCCATGACATCTTGACTTCTGCCACAATGTGGACATTATACTAACATATCTGCCATGTCAATGGCCTCCAGTTTGTGGAAGTTTCACGGGGTTTAGTTGCCTGAGAGGCATCTATCAAACTGCTGACAGCTATTGTGTGAGGCACACCTCATTTTCCAAATCTGCCATGCAACAGAGTCTTCTCCTCTGTCCTTGCAGCTTCGGGAGGGGTTTCTTAATGGTGTGTGTGAGCGCTTTCCGTGAGCGTGCATGTGCATGTATATATATATATGACAGAACCGAACCAATGACAGGCACCCCAGCCCAGCCCAGCCCTCGCAAAACAAAGAGGGCTGGTGGGTTTCACTGCAGCCCCTCTCGCTCTCCCACACGCTCATAAATAACCATACAGAGTCTCTGCCCTGGCCAAAGGGAGAAAAAGGAGAGAAAAGAGCCATTTAGGTAGAACCGCTCCTCTCATGCCTTCCAACTGACCTTTTCCAAGGGTCAATCAGTCCTACCACAACTCCTTACTGTGACCCCCCCCCCCCCCTCCCCTCTCTCTCACTCTCTCTCTCTACTCGCTGACACTAACCTGAATCATCCCAACACTGGCGCTGTGGAGAGAAGCCACTTAGCAGGCTCGGGTCATTGTAATGGAACATTTAAGACCTGGAAGGCATAAAGCCTCACAAGCCTCTCGGTCCCAGAGCATATGAGATGGCAAGCACGGGGTCAGAGGTGAAGGTCACAATATGGGAGGAGGGGAATAAATCCTGTAGCATGGACGACAATGGCTGCGATCCCCAGCTGACAATGATGCCATTGTGGGCCATGGGTTGCTTAGTGTGTCCTGGAGCTCTGCCTAATAGAGTTATAGTGCTGATGTGATAGCTGTGTAGCCGAGGAGAGTAGTGTCCTTTTTATATAAAGGGGGGCAACAGCCGAGGAGCTTTAAAGAGTCCACGGCTTCTCAGTTTTTGCTCTGCATGAAAGCCAGGGATTGTGTGTGTGTGCATTTTTTGTATATATATGTGTGTGAGAGAGAGAGAGCGATGGGTTAAGTTACCAGCTTAACTGCTCTGAGCTTCCAGCCATGAATCCTTCGCTCACTGACACACATCCTCTCTGCAGAGACTCATAGTTGAGTCACAGTTGAAGATGCATCACAGAAGTTGTTCTCATGGTGACGTGCAGGTGGGCACTCTGAATCAGGAATAATGCGGTTTTAGTTTTTGAGCAATTGGGAATTTCAGAATTGAATCAAGCCAAAAATACTGCTTTACATCATAACAATTTCAATATCATTGGGCTTTTGACTGTTGGTCGGACCAAATGAGCAATGTCAAGATGCTACTTTGAGATCTGGGAAACTGTGCTGGAGATTTTTCATTATTTCATTAATTTACAACAAAACGCTTCATCGAAAAGACCAACAGATTATTCAACTGTGAAAATAACACTTTAATCCTTACCTAACAAGGAGTAAAAACAACAGGCAGCGTCCCACTTCCATTCTTCATGGTTGGGCCTTTGTTTGACGCACCAATTAAGCAGAGAGGTGGGGAAAGTTTGTAGAGAGTCAGAGGCTGCTGATACCACAGGATCATAATCCGGAGCATTACTCAGACACTCAGCTGGTAAACGTTATGTGGTGGCATGCCGCGAGTACCTCAGTTGTCACCTCTGTTAGTAAGATTAGACTCTGGCAGAATGGAGTGACAGATGATGAGTGTTGGGTATGACCACCGGGTGCTCCAGGACAGAAACAGCGAGGGAGAGGGCCGGACTTCACATTCAAAGAGGCAGACAGACACTGGAGCATTTGAAAAAAAACAAATGGTATGTCAGTTTTGCCGATGTCTATAGTAACAGTAGCCTCCAATTTGACATCCACCAAACATTGGTTTTTCTGATTTTTTTCCTCTTTTTGGCTTCTCTTTGACCTCTTTAAAAGAACAAGCTATGTTTCCCAGGGCCCAGCTATTTGAAGCTCATAGTTTTGGTCATCCAAAGTTTTCTGTTCCAACTCAAGCCGTTCAGACACTGTCCCCACTTACATTTCCACAATGGCAGGGTCCTGGGGGCCAGACCATAGCCGCCCTAAACTCTGCCCACAGTCGAGTTGCCTCTGGCAGGACTACTGCGTGCTTTGTGTGCTGCTTCTGGCCGGCTATCAGGGAAACCCCACAGTCTCTCCATGGTGGATGTCGAACGCCCTGCCAAAACCATTATGCATGCCTTCAATGGCCGTGAATAGCAGCACACTACAGTACAGAAGACTTGAGAGATGTACAATTCACCCTGGGCTGCAATGCGAGACCACGACACAGATACCAACACTGGTGAACTGAACTAATTCCTGACATTGTTTCTCCGTGTTGTGTCTTTGAGTCTTTTTGTTTTTCCGACAACAAACAAAACAACTCCTGATAAAACGCATCCTAGTTGCAAAACAGTTGATACATAATATTCCTAGTGAACAGAATCTAAACAAGCATTAGTCTAAAAAGCCAGGAGATTATTCCCCTGATTCTACAAATACTGGTTGTTGTGACCTAGGCTGGCTGAGTGAATGACAGCAGGAGGCCTATCATGTACACATTTAACACTCTTAAATATGGGGATTAAAGCACTTTCCAAAATTTCACCAGAGTTCATGAACAACACACTGAACCTCACTGACCTAATAACCTCAAGGACACAAAAAAACAAGTCTGCCATTCTCCTTTACTCTGATATATTTATATTTCTCTTCCTGACTCAGTTGTCCCGAGGACAGAATAGATCACACTTTAAGGCCTTTAACACCAACTCTCCTTAATATTTGCTGCTTTTAACAGTTCCTCTCTAGTCATTCTAAGTCACTTATGAGATCAGTGTCAAAACATAAAGCTAACAGAATTAGAGTCTACATTTAGCACAGAGAAACATCTGTCTATTAATTTGAAACCCGTGCAGCATTTCCCAGCACTCCCACAGTCAAGTGGTATATTGCGATGGTGGATCTCAAGATGAGTCACATCAGCTATAGCAGGCAGCTGGCAGGCTTGCAGTATCAGCCTATCCCGTTAATCTCACGATTAGCTTTCACTGATCCCATCAGGACTGCCTGGATCTGGGGTGCAAAGCCGAAAGGTTTATCCTGCAAGTCGTGCCCTCCCGTACCCTGGTCACTACACGCACACAACACGAATGTGGGCGCACATACAAACGCTCAGCAAACCCCAAATATTTCCACGTTTTTCTAATACTAATGATGGATTAGGCGGCATATTCCAAACACAAGGCCCAGAGACAGGAGCTTGTCCTGCCTCACTGTCACTGACACGTCTGTTGGAGCCCCAATGCCGTTGTGTTTCAAGAGGATGGTGGTAGTGAAATGTGTCACGGAGTTCAGACCAAGAAGTTAAAGGGGCAAATCCTGTGCTCTTCTGACACCAGAGTTGGGTGGGGGAAAGTGACATGTCGTGACAGGCCTCAAAGGCTCAAAGTAGGAACACATGTAAAACACACAAGCA